TTTTAAATAACTAATTATAATATTTAAAAATATTTTTATAAATTAATTTTAATAATTAAATTAAAATAAAAATTTAATAACTCTAGTGGTTCAAAAAAATAAGAGCAGTGCTAGGGGCACTTGCCTCTTACACTCTCCTGCCAACACTTTTCCTTTCATTGGGTCACGTAAGCTTGTTTCAGGCTTTGAGGGCAACCCCTTGCCGACGAGAATAACATGGCCCAATAAAAGAGAAAGTGTTAGCCGGAGAGTGAGAAGGCGAGTGCCCCTAGCACTCCTCAAAAAATAAAGGTGACCATAACCATTGGTTGATATTGGAAGAGAAGGAAGGCAGAAGGAAAACTAAACAATTTATAACTTAATTTGTTGCTATTTGTGGTGTTGTGTTATACTATATTAATAAGGTTTTTATCTTTTTATTATAAAAAAAGTATAATATATTAAAATTAATTAAAAATACATATAAATTTATATTTTTAAATAAAATATTAAGAAAAAAAACTCCACAAAAAAATTTCCGCAAACGAAGCCCGTGGTCGATTGGGGAATTCTTCTAGCTGCATGGTTGGACTTGCACCTCTTTTCTGTATAGGTACAACAATAACGGCATTATTGGTCGTGGCAATAATTCAACATCTCTTTCCCATGTATCAATTAGTGGGCCCGCAACTGGCCTCACCGAATTGTTAGACCTGGTCATAATGCCCTTTACCACCTCCCATCCACATGATTGATTTCGAACTATATTCCAATTGCTTTATTATTATTTTTTTTACCCTAGTTTGGTTCTTTTATTTTAATAAAAAAATTTATTTAGTTTTTTATTTCATTTTTTTTATTTTGTAAAGTTTACTATTTGATTTTTTAAACCTTTTTGTTATCTTTTTTATATACATAGCATATAAAACAATAAAAATTTTAAAGTATAGGAATAAAAAAAGAACTAATAAAAGTTTTTTAGTCTCTTTATTTAAAATTTTTTTTAATCTTTTAACTTTAAAATTTTTATTATTTAATGTATTACACATATATAAAAATAACAAAGGGGCTAAAAAAAGGTTGAAAAATAAATTTTAAAGACTAAAAAAATTTTTTAAAAGTAAAGTGATTAAAAAATTTTTATTAAAGTTGAAGATCAAAATAAGGTTTTAACTCTTTTTTTTTTCTTAAAGTAAATTGCTTTTGCTTTTAAGAACCAAGTGGTACTGTCTGGGCACGTAAGGATTACAGTTGGAGAGTTTTTTTATAATTATATAATACTTTTAAATGTATGTGCTTCATAATTTATTTTGAGCTCTTATAATTCAAAGAAAATAATATTCTACATGCTAAAGTTTAATAAATTAGCGATAAAGTTATCAAAGCATATATTTTCTTAACAGCAAAGCGGTTTTTTTTGTTAATGTGCATGAGTGTACTCCAATCCTTACACAAAACTTTTCAACAGTATAGTTAAAACTTTAAAAACCAGCATATAAGATATTCCTCATCTTCACATGACTCCCAGAGATAATTTAACAAAACATCCTGCATATGGTGAAGAAAAATTTATAGGGATTGAAAAATTATACCAGCTCATCCAGAAGTTGGTCTTCTTCAATCAGAGGGTTTGAGAATAGAAAATGCAAATATCGTAGAATATACAGTA